TCCAAGTCTCTCTCTCTCTCTTTCCCTTTTGTGAAACAAGAAGGTCAAGAAAAAACTTGAAGACGTTCTAGATTTCAAACCGAATTCGTTTATTTGCAGCTTTAAATTTTGTATTTGCTCGCTAATCCATTTCCTTATTTTGGCGAATCTAATATTACCAAATATAAAACCTGGCTCTTCAGCTTCACTTGCCATTCTTGTTTCTCTCATTCAATCTTTTTGCCCTTTTGATTTCTTTTAGAGAGAGCCACAAAAGGAAGAAGAAGAAGAAACAAGCTAGGGAATAGTAAAGTCTTCAACTTTTGCAACTGTTTTTCTCTAAAACCTCAGATGTCGAAGAACCCATCTCTCGAAGACGATGAAGTCATGCCAATCTCCGAAGTAATCAAGAGATTCAAGCGTTTAAGGCTCGTGTACGAACCTTCACTGGGAATCTTGGGTTTTTTCTTGGTGGGTTTGTGTTTACTCTTCAGCTTCTTCTACATCGATTACAGTACAGTGGCTAAAACTAAAAGCCAAGGACTTTTATCGGATCAATCGGAGAAATTCCTTTGGCTCAAGGAGCTCGATGCTGGGTCTGGATTTAACATCAACAACGAAGAAAACAGAGTTGGGTTTCTTGAAGAAAGTGGGAATACTTGTGATGTGTTCGATGGGAAATGGGTTTGGGACGAATCGTATCCGTTGTATCAGTCCAAAGATTGCGCCTTTCTTGATGAAGGATTCAGATGCAGTGAGTTCGGGAGGCTTGATTTGTTCTATACCAAGTGGAGATGGCAACCGCGACATTGCAATTTGCCCAGGTGATATTTCTTTTTCTCCCCCTCAAAGATTTTCTTGACCCAGAAAATGTGGGAAAGTTAGGGAAATTAAAAAACGGTGCTTTTTCTATCTTCTTCATAGTTTCTGCGGTTTGTTTTGCCTGAGTTCTCCTGCGTTTTTGTCTGTAGCCAAAAGGGTTTACTTGAGATTGTCTAAATTTTCCTTTGAATTTTATAGATTCTTTAGTGACTTTCAGTATTCTTCAAATTTATAGCTTATGAACCCGTGAGACTCATTAACATTGATCCAAAGAGCATGAATGAGCACAGTTTTGCCTTAGAGATTGTTCTGAAGTTAGAAATGGTTAAGCTTAGGATTTGGCTGTGGTTTCTTATTAATGTGTTTCTTTGTATTCAGTTACTTATCTCACTCTTTTTGTGATCAGATTTAATGCGACTTTGATGCTAGAGAAACTGAGGAACAAACGGCTAGTGTTTGTAGGAGATTCGATTGGAAGAAACCAATGGGAGTCTCTTCTCTGTATGCTATCTTCTGCTGTCAAGAACAGGAATTCGGTTTACGAAGTGAACCATAAACCCATCACAAAGCACATGGGCTTCTTTGTATTCAAGTTTCATGACTACAATTGCACTGTTGAATACTATAGAGCACCGTTTTTGGTTCTCCAAAGCCGACCACCAAAAGGATACCCAGAAAAGGTAAAGACGACTCTTAAACTAGAGACGATGGATTGGACTGCCGACCAGTGGAGAGGCGCGGATATATTAGTGTTTAACACGGGTCATTGGTGGAACTACGAGAAAACTATTCGCGGGTTAGCTTCTTTCTTCTTTTTAACAATCGTTGGACTGATCAGATTGGTTCTGAGTGACAGATCTTGGATTGTTGCTGCAGAGGTTGTTACTTTCAAGAAGGAGAAAGAGTGAAAATGAGAATGAAGATAGGTCATGCGTATAGGCGAGCTATGAAGACTGTTGTGAAATGGATACAAGAAGAGGTGGATTCAAACAAAACCCAAGTCTTCTTTCGCACATTCGCCCCCGTGCATTTCAGGTTTGTTACATAGTTTGAAAACAAGTTCTTTGATCAGTTTAATTTCACTTTTATAACCGGTTATCCATCATTTGATGCAGGGGAGGAGATTGGAGAACCGGAGGAACATGTCATATGGAGACATTGCCTGATTTTGGAGCGTCACTGGTTCCATCAGAGACATGGGAACATATAAAGCTCCTTGAAGATGTCTTGTCGTCTCCTTACTTCTCCAATAGATCAGAGACAGTTAAACTGAAGGTGATGAACATAACGGTAATGGCTGCTCAAAGAAACGATGGTCATCCGTCACTGTACTACTTGGGCTTGGCTAGTCCTGCACCGTTCCACAGGGAAGACTGCAGCCATTGGTGTCTCCCTGGAGTCCCTGATTCGTGGAATGAGCTCCTCTATGCGTTGTTTCTTAAGCAGGAAGGTTCTTCTCGACCAATCAATGGCGATTCAGACAGCTTTACATGACATTTTCCTTTTGGTAAAAAGCTGTTGTTGCTCTGCAGTGGCTTTTGTTTCAAGAGGCTGAGCTCAAGTTTTTGATTGGGTGGTTAGTTTAGATGGTTAGGGATATGTAATTACTGATTAGCTTAAGCATCTTTTGTTTAAAGATGAATCTCCCTCACTGTGTTCAAACCTCAAAGCTTTGAGTGACCTCATCATATCATATCAAAGAATAGTCCTTAACTAATTGATAATTTTGGATAATTTTCTCTGGAAAAGTTTTGTCGCATAACTCAATCCATATTATATAATCAACTAAAAAACCTATCATATTTGATAAGTTATTAAAATAAAAAAATCCACAAATTCGAACGCAATTTATTACATTAGCAAAGCAGTAATCGGGTTGGTCTCTTAACGTGAAACTCTAGCAGC